AACGCGTTCCACTTTTGTAGAAAACTTTTTTTAAGAAAAAAAACGCTTGCGATAAAATTGGAACGCATTCTCAACCGTTCCATTTTGGAACGCGTTCCATTTTTTATAGCGAGCGTTTTTTTTCTTAAAAAAAGTTTTCTACAAAAATGGAACGCGTTCTTTGCCGTTTTTTTCGTGAATATTTTTCACTGGGTAGTCTTCTCTAAGGTTCAGTGGCTTGTAAAGATAGAAACCAACGATATTCTAGTAATGTTCGACAGATAAAAATAGGAATTCCTTCAGTAAACTCAATTATGTCCGAAGAACATACAAATGAGATGCACAGAAGAGAAATTCCTGATGAACTAATGTTTTCTCGAACAAGATGTGAAAAATATCGAAATAATAGGGTACTTGTTTCAAACAATTTCTCTTTTTTATCTGCCTAACGTTAACTAGAATATCGTTGGCTTCTTTCTCTACAAGCCACTAGACCTTAGAGAAGATTATTTAAAAAAAAAATCATCTTTTGATAATGTTCTTTCATCGAAATATCTGAAAAAAACAGAAGCTTGACACAAAATATTGAGGAATACTATTTTCAAAAGAATTTTTTATGCTCATTTCTCTGCAATAATACGGCAATGGCACGAACCATTTGGAAATTTTTCTCTATTATGTGAGTCCTACCAATGAGCAAAATATGGACTCAAACGGAGGATATCAGTTGGAGGTGTTTCCTCGTAAATGTGAACCAAAATGATCATGTGCTAATATAAGACCAGCTAAATCATGAGATAATGGTGCCATTTAAATAACTAAACTTAGACACGTGTAAGAACAAAAGAAGTATCAAAATTTTATTTTTTAATATATTCTCATAACATCAATAAGTTTTTAGAAAAACGTGGATTTTCATCTGAATCATCATGAAGAGTAAAAATAACAATTGGTTTAACTTCTGTTCTATCATGTGCAACTTTTTCAAAGTTTTTAAATTAACAAGACGATTAAAATCCTCTGAATATCATTAAGCATTTAATTGATCATATGTATATAAACGTGTAACAACATATCTTGAACATGAATAACCTAAATAACCAGCTTCAGATAAAACATATGATGCCTAAACACTTAATATAAGTTAATGTTTTTATGTAACTGTCCAATCGTGATCTGATAAGTGTATATTATAATCCAAATGCGTTAATATTCATATCTCAACATGAACTACTGGACAATCAAGTAGAAATAAATAGTTCTTATCTTGTAATAAATAAAGTAGAATATAATTTCCAATAATTGATGCAAAATCTTTTATGTAACGAATAGTTGCTATTGCAAAATGTCTATCATCATGTTTACTATGTTTATTATTTTGTGCACGACGAAGACGATATGCAACAGTTTGATTATGCCGATGACCTTCAATTGATGATGCACGATAAGAGAAAAGATTAATAATAAAATGGTTTTTTTTTTAATTAAAAATTTTATCTAATATCGATAACAATTGTCGTTGGTTTAACATTATGACCACGTTGTTTAATTTTTTCACGTAAATCATTTAATGTTAAATAAGGGTAAATAGTTTCTGAATGCTGCCGATCGTCATAAGCACCATCAACTATATCAATGTCTTCAATAATTTTTAATCAATCGGGACATTATTATTCAACATGTGACCAACCATCACCATGACAACAAAGTTTGTTTACTTGTGGACTTAATTAAGGCCTTGTTTCTAAGAAATTATCAACCTACAAAAAAAGGAAAGAATATTTATTTGAGATTTGTTTTTGTTTATATCGAGATTTATTTGATACAAGTTGTCTTGATTAACGATTTTTTAAATTCATACACCTTCTTTTTTCGTCGAATCAACCATTAATTGTTTTAATTGTTTTTTATCTGCTGATGTTGATAAATCCATTTGTCAAAATTTTGCTAACAATGCAATACGTTCATTAACAGTACTTTTCAAATACATAGATTACGCAAAGAAACTGTTCCTTACAGGATTTACTTCTGATTTT